AGCATTCAGAGTTGGACAGGATCTATTTCTGAAAAAGAAACCCAATTTTACTTTCAACTTCTTTACCAAGTTTTCAACACGAGGCTTCAAAAAGAGATGTGCATCTACCAAGATTCCCAAGTATTTGTAAGAATCAACAAACTCAATAGAAACACCATTCGTAGATAAGATAGAAGGAAAGACTGCTGGTACAGACTTCCTGTTTGAAAACCAACATCCCTTTGGTTTTATCAGCATTTAGCACCAGTTTGAGACGGAACAAATCTGAGTCTACATCAACAGAGGATTAGGTTTTCTCTGTACAACATTGCAAAGGTATAGGGTATTCCATGTAAAATATAATATTTTAAGTTTAAAAGGATTCAAAGAAACGTCTGTACTAGAGGATAGTAGTGGCAGATCATGTTTTGTGCAGCATTGCGTTTAGAAACAGGCCTAATCCTGCTGTGAAAGTTACTGAAATCACACTAAGGGTCAATATCTAAAATGGTGTGAACAGGTACATCACATGCACGTCTGTAGAGGCACCGTTATGATGAATGCTTTATCCAGCAACAAGTGCCACTATGAAGATAATAACGTTGCTCCTGGAGCTGCAAATTTCTAGAATGTGGCGTTAAACCACATTTATTTGTTTAACCGTAGTTATCATGCAAATGCTTGATTTCTTTCCTTTACGCAGGAATAATGTTGCATGACTTACCAGGCTGCGCAGGCTTTAGGCCTACTACTGACTAACCACTGACTCATATAGTTCAGTAAATTTTTGCCACAATTTCTGAGAATGACTCCCTAAATGTGTTGTTTTCACTTCTTTTTTTTTTTTATTCGTACTGCATGTGGGAAGTTTTAGTGACAAAAACACACAGGAATAGCACGGCCAATTCACAGCCAGATTGAGGGGCAAGTGTCTTTAATTAACATGAAAAATATAAGAAACAAACCTTTACAAGTAATTTGGAGATTCATTTTTCTAATGCAAACAGTAAAACTCAGCCATTGTTGGAAATGTTAATCTAAAAACATCAAGTATGATCATCAAACTTGCATCTCGTGTTCTCTTCACAATCATATTTGAGCATTTTCAATGTAAATTTTTAACCATCCTCCTGCTCTTGGATCAACTAGACCCCTGAGACCCAAGTTTTAAAAGTGAGGCCTCTGGGGTCATTTTGACCCAAGGACAGCAGGAGGGTGGAGCTTTTATTAGGGTGATATAGAACTCAGTGTTGGATTGTGCATACAGACTGAAAACTAAGACTTTACTTCCTCATCCCATTAAATCACATATTATTTTGCTCCAAATAACCAAATATATGCAATGGGATATTTACCGAAAGCGCAGAAATCAAACACAATAAAGCTATTAAAAAAAAGCTACTATAAAAGTACACTCTGCATCAAACATAAACACTTTAATAAGCCCCTGGGCCTATTTCTAAAATAAAATGTAAAATTCTACATACAGAAGGACAAAATAGCCATAAAAAACATTCAGGGCAGCACAAAAACTTTAGGACACTTGAAATAAAATCAATTTTTATTTTAAACCTAAATGATTAAATAAAGACTAAACATGTTTAACACTTTGTTCAAATGATGAGCACTTTAAAAACCTTGAAAATACCAGATTCCTACTGAAGAATGCTCAAGGCTACCCAGCACCCATAAAAAGTCTAACAGTTAAATACAGCTAGAACTGTTGGCAGAACTACACGTATTTAAAACATATTTTACCATCATTTGACATGTATGTGCAAGAACTGCTTTAGAGCACAAAATGGCCACCCTGCACTATTTTAAAAGAAGACAGTGTTCAGTTACTTTCCATCGAGAATGACTTATTTTCTACTTATTTATATGACTCATTCAGCAGCAAGGGTGAGCTGCAATGCACACATTCCTGAAAAAAGCTTCAATCTCGGAAAGTGTCAGATGGTCAGCAAATTCTAAGGAGCGTTACATAATGGTGGCTCACTTTACAAGCCATACCTGACTGTCAGAATGGAGGCTGTGAGAACAGCTCAAAAAGCCACAAAAAGCACAACACACAAACATTACGTGACATAACCGTCCCATTACAGCCGCCGTCTCGACCCACCGCAACCCAAACGGGCGGACAAGCCAAAACACAAAGAAATAAAATGCTCGCCCAGTGCTGAACCTCACTTCCAGGAGCTATTTAGGACTCAACTGATGCGTGTTCAGAGGCTGCCCTCCCCACAATCTTGGCTCCAAACACACCGTTAACCTGGAAACTGGCACCACCTCGACACTCAGTCACAACACTCCGCTGAAGTGGCATTTACGGTGTTGCATAAGACTTGGCGACCAGACAGACTCCTGAAGTCAGATAACACTCAAATGGCATCTTCTCACAGAGAGTAAAAGGTCAGTGGGGGGAAAAAAAAGGAGCGATTTACCAAAAACGCACACTCGGAATGTGCTGAATATCAGAGAAGCAACAAAGCCTGGTTACCCAAGCAGGGAATTTAGTACTGCCAAGTCCTTTGAGATCTGCATCCATTTAGAGACTCCACTCTGACAAGACCTCACAGGCCAGCCGCTGATTGTGATTAGGTTTGAATGACTACTTAGTTGTATTTACTCTGAGGGTTGTCTCATTTCTAATCCCTTTAACATTAGGTGCTTCTTCCTGGCCTAGAAAAGATCAGGGCTCGCTGAACCACGTGGAGTCTGGTCCGGAAAACCAAGGCCCAAACTTGTTTACACCTCCCAGACATACTTTAGTGATTACACCAACGGGTAATGTGACACACCACAAATAAGAAAACTAAAAGGTGTTTACATGATAGATACTGCAACTACAACTCTCTTTGTATATTTGATACTGAAAATGTATTCTCAAGAAAATAAAGGCCTAAAATGCATATCGCCCGATATATTCCATGACATAGTTTTAAACAAAGATCTTGTGCTGAAAAATGACAAAGTTATAACAGTTTTGGTCAAACATTGTAAATGATGTTATGCATAATTTTGTGTTATACTGAGGTATCTTGAAATGTGTTAGTACTCAGATAATTAACTCAAGATGACTCTGATGATGACATAAATTAGCTCAACACCTGTGACAGTGACTGAGTTATACCCATTTTTATTTTAAATAAGGTCAGTTAGCTGTGACGCCCATCTTGAATTGGAATAACTCCAATTTTAAATGGAGTTGTAGATGTACATTCAGGGATTACTTTAAAAAAAAAAAAAAAACAATAATTCAATTCTATCCAATGGTTCATGAGATATTTTGCAAACAGAGTTGGCTTCAATAGATATCGATAAAGTTTAAGGATAGACCTTTTTTGATTATGTTAGTGCTTAAATTACATGTTGGGAATGACTCTCGGCTATTATTTATGATACCTTTTTTTAGGGATGCAGAATATTGGATTTTTGGCCGATATCCAATATGCAGATATGTTCAAAACTTATTTGGCCGATAACCGATAACCAATAACAAATACCGAAATTTTCCCCCCCTAGACCTATTTACAGAGACTACGTAGCTTTGGAATTATTCTGCATGGCCTGCTACCAATGCTGATGTCCAAAAGGGGGCTGAAAACAATGTAACACTATATAAATTTATAATATATAATTTAAAAAAACTGCGGTGAGTTATTTTGATGGAATGGCTGATGTACGATATTTAGCTTTAACACTAATATCGGCCGATACCGATACCATGCAAATAATATCGTGCATCCCTACTAATTTTAGTTAGTAGTAATATGATTTGTGAGTTTAAGTTGTTTTGGTGTTTGATAAGGCTGCTTAGCTGTAGTAGTCCTCTTGAATGGTGTTAACTCTAAATGTTATTCAGCTGTAGATATACATTCAGTGATTACTTTTTGAATGTTTCATGAAAATCTGTCATATGGTTCATAAGGTATTTTGCTAACAGACAGACGAACACGCAGACACAGACGGGCAGAAACATTATTGTCACTTCACCGTTGGTGGTGGACAATAAAAATCTTCACTGAAGGTGGTTTGAAGACAGCAAAATTATATTACTCATGCATGTTTTGTGTGTGAGTGCAGCTTTTAAAAGGTGCACAGATCTCAAAACATCCCAGTTTCTTTCCATCGCCAATCTCTTGTGGGGAAACATCTGACTGCTGCCCATTTCAGAGAAGTGTGCTATTGCTTTGCAGAAAATATATATCTGTTATTTTTGACAAATACGCACAGTGAGAGGAAGGGAGTAGCAGCTTGACGCTTTATTCCCTGAGTGGCCCTACCTGGCAGAGAGCTTCATTTTCTGAAAATAAAAAGTAGGAAAAGTGCTTTATAGGATCACTCCCATGTTTCCTGAAATGCAAAGGATACCGCACTCTAAATGTGTGTTTTACTGTAAAAAATGAAACATGTAGCTCAGTTTATGTTGCGGCTAGAAACATGAAATTGAAGCTAGAATCAATAGGATGAGACGCTTGTTTAGGACAGGAAAGGCCTCAAAGCAACCATTTATTCCCCATCCATTGAATCTGTTTGGTTGTTAACTTGTGTTCCTCCACTCCAAACATATCAAACTAACTGCAGGGAGGTAAAAGCATCATATAGCAGGGCTAGTAGAAACATTATCTGCATGTTGTACACTAACATGAGAGGCACCAACATAGACTGCATGGCTCCTCTGTTGTATGTCTAGAAATCTGAATCTAATGTGACTGCTTAAAAAAATCTCAGAGCACTAATAACAAATGAAGTAGCCTTTGGAGCAGAGTGGAGCCACTGACTCTTTGCTTGGGGGCAGACAAACAGGATCTGAGGCAACAATTGCAATAACAACCATGATCAAGTAACAGCATGGAAAACAAATCTTACTGGTGTCTATTTAAAGCAGTTACCAACAGCTATTATACAAGAGAGTGGGCTACAAAGCTTCATGGTGAATAGCTGCCATCAGAAAACCTGTATCTTACAGGGGAAAGAAGAAAATGGGTGGTAAATGTAAGATTTTATCCAAGGCTTACCTGGCTTGCTGGGATAACGCCGTCTCGGTGGTGTGACCTGGCAGCAGGGGTTGCAGAGATGATCTCCTGAATTGGATTAACTAAGAGGGGCAGTCAGGCGGAGGGGGAGGGCATCTCTCCGAATGAGGGTGGTGATGATGCCACTGTTTTATTTTGTATCCCTGGGTGGAAACATCTGACCCGCTTCTGTCGCCAATACGCTTGAATTTGGGCCCCGGTGAAGCAAAAACACCGACAACACGCAACAACACAGCGGGAATAAGGGGGAAAGAAGTGCAGCTGACTCCCCCGCTCCTCTCTCCTCTTTTCTCTGCTTTGCTTTTGACAGTGTGTTCACAGCAGGAACAGCAGCGGCGGTGCGCAACGTCCCGCAGTCTGAAAACCACGCAAAGCCCGCAGGAACACACACACACACACAAAAAAAAAAAGGCAACAGGATTTCTTGTTGCAAAGAAATACGGTGGCGGTGTGTTTACCTCTCCTCTGTTCCTGTTCTCGGTATGAAATCAGCTGCTTCTCTCTGGAGAGACGCCATTTGTCGAATAAATAAATAAACGCGCAGAAGCTCCGGGTCTGTTGTCCTGCGCTGCCCCTCTGAGGCGGAGTCAGCCGGGCGCCTGTAGTTTTCCCCATAGACAAGCGCGCCCTCTGCTGGCCAAATGATGTTAAGGGTTTTAATTTTCACCTTTTCAAGAATTCAAAATATTCACATGCCTCTGCAGACAGACTAAATACATACATTTTAAAAATGAGTGTTTCTATGATTATATGATAAATACCTTTTTCTTGGGTGTTTTTTTGGTTTTGTTTTACTACAAAAATAAATAATATATTACATTCTTTATTAGCAATGAGAGAGAGAGAAAAAAAAAAACAGAAAGAAAACTATTTTTCTTTTAAATTATTTTTTTGTTGTTTTTGTTGCTGTCAGAGAATCTGAATTTGAAGCACACAAAAGACAAATGTCAAACTTTTTTTTTTTTTTGGGCAACTGTTTTGAAGCAACTATTGACAGCAAGTGAGAATTATTTTATTGCCAGTGTCTTCCATTACATCCCCAAGGGGTTTCCTTTTAGACCCAGCTCGAAAATATCATCCCCATCCCACCCCCCAAAAATGGTATTTCTCAGCAATTAATCTGTTAAAATAATCTCAGTATTTAAAGAAAGCCAACACTTGGAAGATTTCATCAGATGTATAAGCATTACATCAGCTGCTACTTTTTCAAAGAAAAGGAGGACGGAACATCGAAAATAATGATGTTTTTATTTATTTATTTCTTCTTCACAGAGTATAACCCCTTTCAAAACATAATGAATAAGGTTAAACACTCTTGGAAACTATGAATCTTCATGTGGACATTACCTGTGCAAAGATTTCTAGAGCAACGTTATGTTGATTTTGCAATTTGCCACAAGACGGCAAATTTTGGCACAGTTTAAAACTATCTGTGAATGCAGTGATTTTTTTTTTAGGTTTTAAAATTCAACAATTCATTTTTTTCTGCATTTCCCTCTTCAGGGGTCGCCACAGCGAGTCATCCTTCTCCATCTCACTCTGTCCTCAACCCAAGTCCTAACTATGGTACATCCATATCTACTCTTTGTCTTTTTCCTGGCAGCTGTATTTCTAAAATCCTTCTACCAATACACCCACTGTCTCTCGTCTTGTCCAAACCATCTGTCTGGATAATTGAGCATGGACTTTGGTGCATCAGTCTGGTCTCTCTAACTTTATATCCCAGTTCTTCAAACCTGTGCTGTACCTCTGATGATCTCATTCCTAATCTTTTCCATCTTTGTCACTCCTAAGGAGAACCTCAACATCTTCATTTCTGCCACTTCCAGTTCTTTCTCCTGTCTTTTTGTCAATGCCACTGTCTCCAGAACATACAACATAGCTGGTTTCACCGTATTATAAACTTTTACTTTGACCTTTGCTTTCACTCTTTTGTCACAAATCACTCGTGAAACATTTCTCCATCCACTCCATCCTGCCTGGACTCTCTTCTTCTCCTCTTTACCACACTCCCCCTTTTTCCTGAACAGTGGACCCCAAGTACTTGAAGTCCTGCACCTTAGTGACCTCTGCTCCTTGTAGCCTCACTGTTCCACCAGCCTCCCTCTCCCAAATGACCCCTCGTTCAAATCTGTAGATCAAGTAGAATCAAACTAGTCAAGTTCACGTCAGTCCGACGCAGACTGAGTGAATTTCACCTTGAACCAATCATCTCCTTGTAACTGGGTCCAAATGGATGATTTTGGCTGGAAAAATGCTCTAAAAGCGCACTGGGATACATGTTGGGTGAATAGTTTTATTCTGGTTTATGAGCTTTTAGCCAAGACTCTCATGTTTCTATGGATACCAGATGTATTTCAGTTTAACCAAGAGAGCTCAAGTTAATAGAAGTAGAAAACAGGAAGTGCAATTCTGCTCCCGGTGGCGTTTATGTCTTTCATCAACAATATTCTATTTGTGCATATTTAGATGGAAGTGGATTCCTAAGGACAGATTTCTCTATATAGCTCAAGAACATAATCATAATTGATTAACTGAACGAACCAGTTATATCTGTGTTTCTTTGATGCAACAGCAAGGAGACAAAAAGATCCAAAGAAAAAAGTTCAGATTCCATTCATTTATTTTGTGTGTGCATCATATATTAACACTTTTTAAAAAATCAACACGACAATGCAAAAATATATATTTACAAACAAAAAAAAAAATTTTTTTATTGCAATATTATTGAAGAGCACACCAAGTGGTGGTTTCTTTCACTCTGGACACAGAATTACACTTAATATAAAAAAAAATGTTTTCAGTGTACTATAATTAGTAGAATTTACTTCATTTAATATTGCAGAACTGATTTACAGACAGATTTAATTCCTGACCAGTAAACAATTAAATGATAAAACATTACAAACTTAACAGCAGACTCAATTAAGCATCTGTTAATAATTTAAATTAAACAACACACTAAAGCTCTAAAATACTGTCAATAAATAACACATTTAATAATATTTTTACAGCTATCAGAAGCATCACATAGTACATATATACACATTTATATTTATACTGTACAAGTTGCAGAATGTCACCAGTCCAGCTTCATGTCGGCTTTGCTCCACACGTACTTCCCTCCCCTCTTTAGAAACATTTTTTCATCAAAGCCGCTGAACAGGATGGCCTCCTTCACCCCCACATCCAGGATGGATCTGGACGGGTCCTTCCTTCCCTCTCGACAGTCCAGGAAACGCATCTGGAAAAACAAACAAACAAAAAAATAATAATAATCCAAAGGAACGCGTAAAAGAAACCAACTTGTAACTGCGATCAACGTTTCAGTTCGAAGCACGTGACTTACATACTCGTCCAGAATCAGGTAGGAGTTCCTCATCTGTGGGAAACACATATTTAACAACGTTTGTTCAACAGATCCAGAAAATGTTAAAGCAAAACAACTTCTTTTTGCTTCCTGTCCTGTTCAACAGCGTCCTTACTGCTCCCCAATCTGCAAACATTAATTCAAGAATGAGTTAAAGCGGCGGCACGGTGGCGCAGTTGGTAGAGCTGCCGCCTCTCAGTGAGAACGTTGCAGATCAAATCCCGGCTGGGGGGGGCGGGGTTTATTCTGGGTGGAGTTTTTATGTTCTCCTTGTGCATGAGTGGGTTTACTCCGGAAACTCCAGTTTCCTCCCACACACAAGAAACATGCACGTTAGTCTGATTGGTAACTCTAAATTGTCTCTAGGTGTGAGAGAGAGAGAGAGTGAATGGTTGTTTGTCTCTATGTGTCCCTGTGATGGACTGGAGACCTGTCCAGGGTGTCCCCCGCCTCTCAGACTGCTGGATATGAGCACCAGTGATCCCAGCGATCCGAAAAGGAAGAAGCATGTAAAAGATGATGGATGGATGGAGTTACCGTCTTATAACTTAGACGGTTATAAAACACTTTTGTTTACAGCGTCATGGAGAATCGGCAGCACATATAAGTTGCTGTCTTCATTCATACCCATGTGCTCACTACAGACTCATGTTCGGGCTGCTGTTTAATACACCGTATTACTTTACGTTATTAGTGTTTAACATATATTTTAGATATTTTAGCGTATGCGTTATCTTAGTTCCTTATATACTGTTTCTTTTTAGCTTCTCTCCATTGGCTCCCTGTCAAATCCAGAATAGAATTCGAAATCCTACTTCTAACCTACAAAGTCATCAACAACCTAGCTCCATCTTATATTGCAGATCTTATTGTTCCATATTTTCCTAACAGAGCACTTCGCTCTCAGGCTGCAGGTTTACTTGCGGCTCCTAGAGCTTCCAAAAGTAGACTGGAAGGCAGATCTTTCAGTTTTGTTGATGGCTTTTTGTTTTATTGTTGGGTGCAACTGGGACCCTGTGCACACAATTTCATTCCACCTCATGTACCACATGTGATGCGAATGACAGTAAAGAGCCGTGAACGCGTTTGAACGGTGCAAATGCACGCACTTCGGCACCACGCTGAGTGAATTTACAGACGCACTTACGACGACGAAACTTAAGCCAAACCGAGAGAAACGATGGAAAATGCGCAGCCGACGTGTCCCTGTCGCGTTTCGTACCTTTTCATTCGACTCGGGGACGAGGCAGGGGACGCCCCGGTGTCTGTCCAGAAACTCCTGAAACTGTTGCTCCTCGATGACGAACCTCTCCGCCTCCCTCAGAGCGGCCTCTCCTGCGTTCTCCCCGTCAATCAGCAGACACTGGAACACCTAAAGAACGGGCGCACGAGAGGATGAGCGCCGTGCGGTCAAACGTCTGAACAGAGTTGCTCTGCGCGTCCGCCCGCACCTTCCAGCGGACGGGGTTGAGCTGGTTGATCTGCTCCGTCATGTCCTCGTGGACGTTGAAGGTGTTGATGACGGAGTTGATTTTAAAGGCCACTTTGTACTGCTGGCACCAGCCGCGGATCTTGTACAGGTTCTCGATGTGGCTCTTCCGGCCTTGAGCTCTGCCGATCAGCTGATTGGTTTCTTCGTCAAAACTGTCACAAGAGACGGCCAGGATGTCCAGATAGTTGCCTAGAAAGAAGAAGAAGAAAAAAAAAAAAGTCCAGAGACTTATTAATTTAAAGGACGATAACGTTTCCAGATTTCATTCACTTCAAAGGCTAAGTTTCAAACGAAAACCATTTTATGTTTAGAAATAACAGTAGAAACTGTTTTGGTCAAACTATGAATTTTTAAAAGTCAAGCACAACATCATGCAATAATGTGAGATATCACCCTCAGAATATATGTTGTGAATGACTCTCAGCTACCACCACGTCAAACTGTAGCTCAATATCTGTCAAACTTATTGGGTTATAGCCATTTTTGTGTTTGCTAATATTGATTAGCTGTGGCAGACATCTTGAATTGGATTGACTCCAAAGATTAATCAGTTATAGTGGACTAGCTAATGAACACTTTCTACAAGAGTCATTAAAACCAGAGTTGTAGTTCACGAGATATTTTGCTAACAGACAGTCCACGTTGACCTAACAGTTAATGCTCAATTTTTAAGCAAAATTCTCACATAGTGCGTAGCACTTGAACTACCTGTTGTGATAGAATTTCAGCTACAACTTCACCAAATTTTAGTACAGTGCGTGCAACACTGACTCAGTTATAGCCAGTTTGATGTTTTCATTAGTGAGCTGGCTATGGCAGCCATCTTGAATTAGCTTGGCTCCAAAAGTTAAACATTTGTAAACATTTATCTATCGAATATTTCCTGCAGGTTTCATTAAAATCCATCCAGTGGTTCATAAGATATTCTGCTAACAGACAAAAAAAAAAAAAAAGTAAACTCCAAATAGCAACATTTTTAATAAATATCTCATGCACTATTGTTAGTGCTCAGATTATGTGCAGAGGATCACTCTTGCCTACTCCCACAGCAGATTTTCACCCAATATCTGTGAAATAAACAGAGCTAAAGCCATTTTTTGACGTTTTTAAGATCAGTCAATTTTCACAACCATCTTGAATCAGGTTGAGTCTAAAAGTTAATCAGCTGTAGATATACATCCAATGATTAAAGTCTGCAAGTTTAGTTAAAATCCGCCCACTGGTTTATGAGTTATTTTGCTAACAGACACATTGCTTTTAGGCGATAATTAATTTTTTTTTACACCATACAGCAAAGATTAAAGCCTGTCGCTATTACTGGATCTCACCATACTTCTGGAACCATCCTTCTCTGATCATGCTCCCATTGCTCACGATGCTGACACTTGGGAGCTGCAGGTCCACTTTACAGAACTGGACCAGTTTCCCCAGGAAGTCCCCCTTATCGTGCAAGAAGGGCTCCCCTCCAGAAAAGTTGATCTTTTCCATTCCTTAAATGAGATAAAAAAAAAAAAACAGATTAGCTTTGTGCACAAATAAACAAATGAATAAGCAATGTATGAACTTTACCTGCGTCCTTCAGAAGTTGGAGACCCCGCTTGGCCTCCTCCAGAGGGAGGACGAAGGAGGTTTTCGCGGTGTGGAAACAAAAGCCGCACTTGTAATTACATTTGCGCGTGAAGTGGTAGTTGACGCTTGTCGGGGTGGTCGCGTTAGGGTCTTGAGGACTGTTATCCGGAAGGGGGTCCACCTTCCTCCTGCAGGCTCCTCTGGTCCAGAACCAAACCGTGGAGAGGATGCTGAGGATGGTGCTGATGCAGAGCTGCAGGACCTTCGGCGTCAAAGTGGAGAGAAGCATCTTGACTGCAGGTGTTGCGCTGCTTGTCTTTGTGGATGCAGATGGAGGCTGTGAAGCGGCACCTTAAATAGTCCGCCCGGAGTGAGTCAGCTGACGCGCGCAGAAGTTTCTGTTTACACGCAGGGAAAGCGAAACTGGAGTCGCAGCTTGCAGGATGCGTTTCTGTTGAGCCACGCCCACTAAATGTCATTTTACAACTATGCAGGATAGTTTGAGAGGTGCAGCCAAAAGTTTGGAAGCAGAATATGAAACTTTGTGAAGCCTTTAGAATATATATATATATATATATATATATATATGACCTAAAACATCAGATTTTCACACAAGTCCTAATAGATAAAAAGAACCCAGTTAAACAAATGAGACAAAACATTATACTTGATTATTTACTTAATGAGGAAAGTGATCCATTGTTACATATTTATGAGTGGCAAAAGTATGTGAACCTTTCAGTATCTGGTGTCACAGAACAGCTTCAGCTCTGGATGTTGGTGGTTTCCACACATTAACAGCTGCTTCAGGTCCTTCCACAACATCTGGATTGGATTAAGGTCAGGACTTGGACTTGGTCGTTCCAAAACAGGACCTGTATTCTACTTGAACCATTGTTTGGAGGAACAACTTGTGCTGAGGCTCATTGTCTTGCTGCATGACCAGGGCCGGATTAACCATACAGCAACTGGGCAAGTGCCCAGAGGACAACCCCCCCCCCCCCCCCACACACACACACACAATCAGTGTCTCCCCCCCCATTACAAATGCATATGGTGTTCAAGGTGCGTTCAACTTAACTCAGTCTTTATGGTTTGCGTCAACAAGAGGACATAGCATTTATAGTTCTAGGAGCATTTGGAGTTTTATACATGAAAATACACTTGATAGTTAGAGTTTTAAGTATATTTACTGTATATTATAGTAATTTATTCTGTATTTTTGACAGATGTGATTATGGGGTTGTGACGATGGGGGCCCTTGAAGATTGTTGCCCAGGGTCCAGCGAAGTGTTAATCTGTCCACCTTCTCCTGAGATTCTCTTCATGGACAGAAGTCCTTTCCTCTTTAATCCTCTGATATAATTCAGAATTCATTGTCCCATCAAGCCATCCTGGTGCAGCAAAACAGGTCCAAACCATGATACCACCACCACCATGCTTCACAGATGGGGTAAGGTTCTTATGCAGGAATGCCGTTTTCCTTTGTCCAAACAAACTTCTCATCTAAACCCAGTTCTTTAAATCAAACAGGGTGCACACTCACACCTGATCATCATCACAATGATCAAATTAACGGATGATCCTGGAGGTTCACATACTTTTACCACTCACAAATATGTAATACTGGATCATTTTCCTCAATAAATAAATGACTAAGTACACTATTTTTTGTCTCATTCGTTCTCTTTATGTACTTTTAGGATTTGTTTGAAAATCTCATGTTTCATATTCATGCAGAACATTTCTAAGGGGTTCACAAACTCTGTATTAGTGTGGCTGTAAAAAGAGAGAATGCACGTTGACCCTTTAAAGATCGTCTCCACTGTTTGTTGTGTCAAAGCACGTTGCGTCATAAGCACACGCACGCGACTGTTGGTTTAAGTTTTACAATCATTTCTCAGGAATGGTTTAAGTTTCGTTTTCCTTTCTCCGGCTCGGTTGCTTTCGTTTCTCCTCCTCTGCTCCGGAAACAGTTGATGTAACCTCGCTGATAAAAAACATGAGAAAGCTCATGTGGTGAGAGGAACATGAGAAACATGGCGAGGCGGTTGACAGATCTCGGGGGTGTTTTTGCGCGCTGGTCCTCGCGCGTCTTTTCCGTGGAGCTGGACGGAGCGCCTTTTTATTTTGGGCTTCAGGAGGAGAAGCGAGGAGAAAATGCGCCCCTGACTTTCCCCAAGCTCCAGTGGGGGGGCAATAAGTGCTACTCCCTTCTGGTGTGCAGCAGCGACAGGATCAGGAGAGAGAAGTGTTACTGGGAGCTGAAAGACAGGCTGATGGGAGACTTGCCTCCAGGCGCGGACTTCTCCAACATGTTGTCGTTTCTTCCCGATGCTAAAAACTCTCTCATCAAGGGCTACTTCTTAAAAGGCAACTCTGAGAATTCCTCCCTGATTGAGAGACTTTTGGGTCATTTAGAGCAGCATGATCCGGTGTTGGTGTGTTCTTACTCGTGGGGTGAAGATGAGCTGTGGACTCAGCACGTGTGGACAAATCCAGAGAGAGAAATGATGGAAGTGGCTCCAAAGTTTTACATGGTGCCAGCAGCAGCGCCAACATGCCACCCATCTACTCTCAACATGATCAACTCTGACGTCTTCTACAGCCTTGATGAGGCCTGTGACGTTTTAAAAGAGGTGTGTTCATAAATAATACACAGCAACGCTTCGTTGTTTCAATAAATAAACAGAATGAAGTGTGGCTACATTTTGGGGGAAATGTCTCCATCGTGTGGTGAGCAGAGGTATTGCAACTACAACCTAAAGAGCCCCAAACGCTTTCTGTGAGTGCGTTTTATTGTTAGCAAAATATCTCACGAATGACTGAACGGATTTTAATAAAACTTTCAGGAATTAATCATTAAGCACACAACTACAAGTTTTTAAACTTTTGGAGTTGATCCAATTCAAGATGGCTAACAGCAAGGTGTTTTTAACAAACACAAACATTGCTATAATTCACAGTTTTAGAGGTAATGAGCTCAAATTTAATGTGGTCGTAACCTTACCTTTAACTATTGGACTCAACCCTATCTGCTTGTTAGTAAAATATCTCGTGAACCACTGGATGCATTTTAATGAGACGTTTGGAAAGACCTCAATAGATGTACTTTTAAAACTAATTAACAGTTGGACGTAGCATGATTCCTTAATGGAAGTCACAGCTAAATGACCTTAGAAAACAAAAATGTATTAACAGATATTGAGCAAACATTTAATGTGATAGCTGAACATCATCCCCAACTCAGACTTTGAGCACAACATTTTTGCAAACAACCTTGGCGGTATTTGTTGGAGTACAAAATATTTCATCTTGTCATTTCTGAACATGAGATGATCCGAGTGTGAAACACTGGCATGAAAGGTGGCAGGTGATGTGAATTGAATGTTGGGCCTTTAATTGATCTAACTGTGCCAGGTGGCCCAGCGCAGCGTGTGTGTGTTCATGTGCACCGCACCGTGCGACTCCCTCCTGCCGGCTGTCTCACAGCAGCACACTGACTCTGCCTGTTCTGCAGTGTGGTGACATCATCCCAGAGACCGCGTCAGTGCTGAGGACGCTTCCCAGCAGAGCCGGAGGAAAACCAGACTTCCCTGTTATTGTCATCGAGGGCCTGGATGCTACAGGTTAATGCCATTACTTCATAAATAAACGCGGGATTGGTTTGATGCATAGATGTCGGATGAAGTGACGGCTGGTTCTCTGCTAAAACCATTATCTGCCAGTGAGCTTCGCCTAATGGGATATCATGTATTGTGAGCTCAGAAACATTACATCCAGATGAAAATGGTTTATTTAATCATCTTGACCATCTTAGAAACCTCACGAGGACTCCAGCACACAGGTCAGATAGGAGTGTGAGGTGTACATTTCAAGTGTTACTTCAGTCATTTGTTCGATTTTTATGAAGTTATTTGATTTTGTGTTTTTAACACGCTTCATGTGAACATTTTCCACCTTTCCCGTTCAAGGTAAAACTACTCTTACAGAATCGCTAAGGGACACTCTTGGGGCCACCCTTTTGAGGTCCCCTCCCCAGTGTCTGTCCTCTTGGAGAGCCCGGTTCGATCAAGAGCCGCCCCTCATTCGCAGAGCCTTCTATGCTCTCGGGAACTACATCACTGCAGAGCAAATATGCCAAGAGGGCATGAAGGCCCCCGTCATTGTTGACAGGTAAGAGTTGGCTCACGTCTTGTTAGTTGAACTGAACAACTCAATATTGAATAGTTCTCTAATCATTACAGTATCAGATGAAGTAAAAGAACAACCGTGATGTTCAGTCTGTTCCAAAATGTAATGTATCACAGTATTTGTGGCTTGATGTTTTGATTCTGAAAGTGATTTTTCTTCGTGATACTCACCTTTTATTTCCTTTTTGAGTGCCTTACATGACTGAAGTGTAATATTTTAACAAGTATTACTCATTTTTATAAACATCATCCTGTCAGTTTTCAGATACACAGACAAGTCTTTTTAATCTCTTACTGTAATTCTCATAGCAAGATATATTCCTTCTTTTTGACTTGAAGCAGCCTTTATTTATTTTTTTTTTTCAGTCTACATTTATAATCCAGCACATATTGTGAGGAAACAGATGTGGAACAACAACCAGCACATTTGTTGAATGTCCTGCTCAGATCCAGTGGTGAAAGGAGAGTTTTTTCCATCTCCACTGTAATCCAGGTCATTTTCTGGCTGACCAGTAAGGAGGGGGTGTCAGTCCCCGATCTGTTACAGAAGCCGATCCGTAGTGTAGCTCGTTTGTGCAGCCGCTAAAAGGAATACTTCCGGGTCACATGGATCACTGTTGAGTATGCTAGATTAAGGAAACTGTACTGGAAATAATTACTTGATATTAATAAAATATATTTATGAATCATACCATATTTATTAATGTTAATTAAAATATCTTTCTATAAATTGATTAATTTTCCTAGACAATGTTATAATTCTGTTTATGAACAAGAACTGTTTTAATTTTCTTAGAAAAGTACGTGCTCTATCGCTGCCGATTTCCATCCTTCGGTTCAAACAGTCTTATACTGCCATCAAGTGGTCAAAAAAAGGTACTACACTCCAAACAAATCAGCATTTCTTCTAAAATTTGACAATTAATTATTGTTAAATTTCAAACAGTATTATCGTTTATCGCAATAATTTCTGAGACAACTAATCGTCCAACAATTTTTTTTAATCGTGACAGGCCTACACGCCACTCGTATTTCTGTTAAAAGCATTGACATATTTACGTCATGGTTAAAATGATACGCAGCTTCACCACTGAGCGGCGCTGTTTCACCATGGAAATAATTTATTCTGTATCTTTCATGGTTTTTCTCATTCAGCCCAGGCTGGGGGTCAGGTCTAACGCATCGCATATCATCTTAAGCAATGACTTGTAACAGAAATACGAGTGGTGTAAATTACCTACATCAAGATCGGTGGAGATAGAGCACGTACTTTTCAAAATAAATTAAGACAGTTCTTATTCATAAACAACGGCGATCCGTGCAACCCGGAAGTACACTACGGATCATGCTTCCATAACAGATTGGGGAATGACAAGGGACTCCGGCATGGAGCTGTTTCCTACTGTTCATCACCAAAACAAGTCAGAGTAGCAACAGTTAAACATTGGTTCCATTTGCAATCTTTCAAGACCTGTAATAGTTTGAAAACCAGTGAAACTGGTCTTCACCTCCGCTCTACTACTTCGTATCCATCCTCAGATTTTGGCACAGCACAGCAGCTTATGCCATCGCCACGGCAGTAAGTGGCCCAGTCAGTGCCCTTCCACAAGACGGCTCTGAGGTGTATCGCTGGCCAAGTGACCTGCTCCAGCCCAGCCTGGTGGTCTTACTCACTCTGGACCCCGAGGAGAGGAAGAGGAGGCTGAGGGACAGAGGTCAAACAAAGACAGATGAGGAACAAGAGCTGGATCACAACCAACTCTTCAGACTCAGGTGAAATTGTTGGAGCACATGAATAAAATATATGATATATAGACTTATGACTTTGAATTTGGCATTTAAATCAGTGGAACACAGCTTAAATTAACAAATACCCATTCATTTGGAGAGTTCCTCGTACATGTAAAAATGTATTCAATGAAAATCAGACACGTTTGTTTAATTATTCTTATAAATGGTTGGCATTTGATTCCCTTGCAATCAGGTACATTTATTAATCAACATGATTTTTGGCTTTTAAAACAGATCTGTCAGAGCGTCAATGCAAATGGTCTTAATTGAAGACGTTCTTACAATTGAAATGGTGCTCAATGGCAGTTATTTTGCAACAAAAAACATAGCGTCCGAAAAAATATAAAAATCAGTTGCTTTAAGAAAAATCATGAACTGTAGAAATCAAATTTATTATGTTATATAGTAGCACAGTTCTTGCAGTTTAGTCAATGTTAAGACGTTATTTAATTGTGTAGTATGAATGTATACGGCTCCCAGGGTTGGTAATACCAGACAAGAGGAAAGTAACCTCAACCATGGGTCACACTTCAACACATGTTTCGTGCTAGAAAGTACAAACTGTACAGCGTTTTCACAGCCAGGCCAGCTCAGTCTTAGTCTGATCCATCAAACACTTAACAATCAATTACCGTCCCACGGGGGAAGGAGCTGATGAGAAAGAGCAGGTGATTAGTTGCTGAGCTGCTGCGCTCCATTAAGCTGGTCAAAACTCGCAGCCGTTGCCGGCCCAGTTAGTTGCTACTCAGACAGGTCGATAGCTACTTTCATTCATCTCCTGTCCTGACGCAACGGCTTGTCCACTTGGGACAGCCAGATGTTGGGCCAGCAGAATTAGAAAACAGAAAGAGAGAGGTTTCAGCAAACTGCCAATCACAAGCACAAGTATTTTTTTTTAAGTATAAATCTGCACCCTGAGACATTTTTTATTACATGTGCATACATACGCATGACAGTGCAGCAAAAACATTGTCAGATGTGTTCCTGGTAGTGCTCCCTTGTTGACCCGTGTGTGTTTGTGTTTATGTGCAGAGTGGAGGAAGCTTATCGGAGGATCCGTGGCCCAGTTTGCGTCACCGTGGATGCGAGTCCCTCTGCAGACCTAGTGCTCCAACAAGTGCTGCTTTTAATTAGGGCCAAATGCCACTTGTAAACAGTTCTCCCACTCCCACTGCCGGCAGCCGAGCATCAAGTGGATGCAGTACCTCCCATCACCACTGGGTGCCAGTAAGGTGTTGTCAAAGTGGCCACCTGCAGGAGGGCAGGTGGCCAGACTGGAGTGTGGAAAAGAGATTCTGCTCACAATGAGTAAAGGTTGAGTGGCCAGGAGCCAGAGCCGCATGCTCCAAACAGAAATACATATTAATGTAGAAACACACACAGATACTCACACTGGAGTTTTGTCAAGAAGAAGTGAGCTTTTCATACTGTTTGCCACCTCTGAAAGAATCACTCTTTGTGTAGCCTTCAGATAAATGTGGCCACTTTTTTTATTTGGACTGATGCTAAAAAAGGACAAAAGAATAGGCACGGCTGAGTTCAATTTTGCCGAGGTGTTTCAACAAGACAGTCCGGATCTTAACACTCAATGTGCAAACAAAACTCCTTGCATCACTTAACTTTATTCTCGGCCACACAGTTAATTTGATTCAAAACAACCTCATTCCACACAATGATTTATTGCAGCACAGCGCTTTATTGACTGTAGTGAAGTAAATGCAACAAAAAGAAATCAGATATGCAGCATCCTCTCCAATATAACTTTAACAAACACTGTAAAAAAGGGAAAATAAATAAAATGATTTAACGGATTATAGTTTTTTATGTAAATCATTACAAAGCCACACCCCTTTTGTTGTTTTGTGTAAAGACTAGAAACAGAACATCTGTATTTCTTATTTAGAGTTCTGAAATCAGCTGTTTTAGCAATTTTTTGTTTGTTTTATTTCATCCACATAGAGCTGAATATGTTGCATTTTGACAATGTCCGTTATGTGTTTAGCAATGCATGTTATTAGAAATAAAAAAATGATATAATAGATCATAAATTAATCACATTTTTTTATGTCTTCTGGTGCAATAATTTCTTTCTTGAGTTTTTACAACATGCCCTATCTACAGTACATGGACTTAAGCAATGTGTTTGCATTCAAGCTACGTGTAGATACTTGTAATCATCATGTGACTCTTTTACTTTAATTTAGAAATAAGTTATTTGCAGGCAACACATTCCATTCAGTTGGACTTTGTAGTATTAAAGAGATAGTCTGGTCATTTTTAAAGTAGTGTTCTGAGAGTTATTCATAGTTTGAATCATATCAGCTGTGCCAACAGTCACACAATCAGTTCAGTTTATTTATATAGTGACAAGTCACTACATAAGTCATCTCAGGACACTGAATACTATCATTAATATATATAAAAAGTAAGTTAATAAAGTTAATTAAATGAGGAGCAGACTGCTTTGAGTTTAACTTCATTACATATTCTCATCTTGAGCAAGCATGAAGGCGACAGTGGAAAGGAAAAACTTTCATGAGGAAGAAACTTTTAGCCGAACCAGGCTCAAGACAAGTGGCCATCTGCTTCGACCGGCTGGGTTTGAGAGTAACAGATACACAATGTCAGGCCAAGAATCACATGTTAAGATAGAAATACTGTGATATCAAATGAAAACTATTCATTGGTAACAATTCATTTTAAGAAATTATGTCATTTTGTCCTCCAGTAGTCTATGTCTATGGCAGCATAATAAGCCAACCCCAACTGTAGGATTTATCAAAAAGGAAAGTCTTAAGCCCAGTCTTCAACCGATCAATATTTGGCTAGCCATAAGCCTAGCCTGGGTGAAAACTTCTGCCCTGTTCACCATACTCAAAACTCCATGACTGATGATGGGGCTACATGTTTGATAACCTGTGTGGCTCATAGTAAAGCATAAAGCCCACTGAGCTCATATGGTGCCGTTTGTTCTAGATGTCCTTATAAGCACAGGCATACCGATTTTTACTAAGAGCATATACTCTTACTCATTTACATGGACGGCAAGCGTATATTTGGCCTATGTGATGGGAAGATTAATTGGGGGTTTTAGCAATTATGAGCTTGGCAAAGCTGTGGCTTAGAGAAGACAGAGTGACCCATCTCTTTTACTGTGATGCATCAGCAGAGCGCCAACCAATGCAGACCCTATTCATATGGCAATTAATGAAGCGCTGTATATCAATGTCATTCCTATGCTCCCCACATAAGTGCGTGGACTACTCCCACAGCCAGTTACATCAATTCTGTGTTTTACCGAGTGCTGTGGATGCAAATCTTGCCATCACGTGTATTCACGTAAAGTACAATAAGGTGTCATTATGTTTATGGAGTATAGATCCCACTACATGAGGTAAATCTCAGTACAGTTTACCGAATGCATAATTCCTCAGCTGCCTGGTGCCATTAACACTGTCTAAAATGTATGAGCAAAGCAATTAGGCTTTATGCCATAAATCATGTGTGAATGCAAAGTTGTGTTTGCCGTATTTAACTGTTATATGTTGTTAAGCCTTAATATTCTTGGCAACCAAAAATGAGTGGTGATATCATGCCATTACTGCCCTACACAACTCTTAATATGACATTTATGGGTCATAATCACAGTGTATTAGACATACAAGGAAATAATTCCCATTTGTCATGTTCTTCTTGGGAATATTAGAGACTTAGTTTTTAGTTGCTTTTGTTGTATAGCCAAGATACACTCAGAGGTCTTAACGATAATAACGACTTGCCCATTCGCACACTGACTGTCTGTTTTTAGGTGGAACTGTGGTTTGAGGCAATTAACTCAATCTGCTTCCAATCTGGGACTTCACTACCAAAACTGAAAGAAAAACGTCCTACACAAGAATTAGAGAAACACTTCTAAGATCTGGATCGACGCTATGGCCTTGCACTCGCTGTCAGTTCAAACAAATACTGTACAGAAGCAAGGGAGCAAAGGGGCAGACGGGTACATGCACACGCACACACATACGCCTCACCCTGCATGAGGCCACTTTGTGCCGCGCTCCTCAACTTCAATATTTCATCTGCACAACAGAGAAGGAGCAGCAGTGAGGAGGAAAGCCCCTCCATGAAATAATTAAAGATCCAGCGGGGGGATGAAGCTCTACAGCAGCCGCTGTCCCATCCTAACTAATAGATCAAATGAAAGCTGTCCCTCAGATCATTAATAATGAGTGTGGTGTGGAGACTGAAAGGGTATAAGGGTGGGAGACACATGGAAGGGGTATGGGGTAGGTAGGTGGAAAGAGGACGTTCAGGAGGTCTTTTTAATATGTGAGTATGGTTTGTAGGAGGGGGTTGAATGGTAGTCTGGGTCCCTTGGCAAAAGCCTTGGTGAAACCTCACTTGGCAGCCACATGAAGCGGCATAGCAAGAGGAGTCATGCATATAATTTGGCACAGAGCGTCTGCCAAACTCTATAGCGCCCTCAGCAACATCTATATGCGTCCTCCTGTCAAATAAACAATGTTTTAAACAGTGGAAGGGCAGGTTAGCGGGGACTAATATTGCTCCTTTCAATCAGCGGAGCCTCAGAGCGACGATGGTGGGTTTGTAGAGAGTTAATATTGCTAGTGTTGGGTTATCGTTAAGGAAGGAGGGGGCAGATAAAAGAGGAAGGGGATGGCTGGAAAAAGGAGAAGAGGAAGGTGGGTAAATGGGGTGGGAGTGATGGGAGTTGTTGTGAATATGTTGTCATCCGTGGGCTCAGGTCCCTTTAGATTCCTCTAGCTGGCAGGTATGCATGTTTCCTTCTACTGCTTCCCCCTCACCCCCATCTGCTTAAGCAGCTTCAAATACCAGCCTAAATCTTCAGACTCACAAACCTCAACCTCCTTCGCAACATCAGGTTTGGTGTGTGAAGGTATTAAAGCAAATTGGATTAAAAAAAACTTAAAACTGTACAAACAAAATTCCAAAGTGCATGTATGGGGGCATTTTGAACCTATAAAAATAGCCTGCCTGTGTCACCTCATATTTAAAGACAGCTAAAGAGGATTAAAGAAAAAAAAAAAACATTAAAACAGATCAAATCACTCAGATTTAGTCACAAGGCTTAAATCAAAGAACGAAGGAATGAAAATAAAACAGCACATTTGTCCATCCTGGTGAGTGAAGGAACAGGAGAGAGTAGAGTTCCAGTCTCTTGTGTTTCTTCACACTCTTGCACACATAAAAGCACCACGTACACACCGCCATCACATCCCTCTGAACACAGCAGGTGGTGGCACAAACCCCCATCTCCGCTCCCTGTGAATGATGGGTGGTGGGATAGAAAAACATGAAGGGGTGTAGGAGTCGAACTGATCGCTGGTGAAAACGCAGCTCAGAAAATGTACAGCAAACGCTCGAAATGGGGTAGAAGAAAGCAGAAGAAAGGCAAAAGTTTTGAAAATACCCCATTAAAAAGCAGATGTATAATTCAGCAGCTTTTTGTCATCGTTTCTTACTCTGTCATGGTGTCTGAGTGCTTATTTGTGAGGGCAAGACGGCGTCTCAGTCGAAAGGTGCAGGTTTTTAGCACAGCGGGCTCCAAGCGTCATTATATATTCAAGTTTGGCTGCTCGTGTGATGTTTTCCAGGGGATCGGGTCTGTATTGTCTGTTATGATTGCATAGAACCTCACCAGTTTCGCCTGGCGGCTGTTAGAGAGACTTCACCAGGAATAGTTAAATATTTAAAAACTGCTGTGAGATCTCATTAAAAATGACACATTCTCCCTCTAAAAGGACCCGACAGCACCCCCCGCCACATACACACACACCCTAAAAACCCCCAGTTAGAAGTCGGCGGAGTGTGACAAAACAGTTATTGTCTATTTATCGAGGAGAACTTGTGATAAATCATCATTTGCTGTCAGACGACACAGCCGGCAGTTGTGTTGACGAGTGGTAAATCGACACATCGGGAAGGGAAATGATTGAGATTCAGTTCAGTTTGACAGCAGCAGACAAGTAAAGGTATGCTAAAACAAAATAACTTGACAAGTAGACCAGACTAATGTTTCTGCATGAAAACAAGACAACAGAATAAAAACAACTTTGGATCTCTGGAGTTTTCTTATGTTCCCTCAAAATCTGGGCAATTAATTCCAACGCGGTAGTTTGGGGCGTCCCTATTTTTAGCCTGGCTGCCCTCCCAAATA